TGTGTGTGTGTGTGTGTGTGTGTGTGTGTGTGTGTGTGTGTGTGTACATATGTGTGTGTGTTTGCCCACATGGTCACACATACTCCAGTGCTGGGGCTAGGGTCCTGGGCCAGTAAGCTTTCCTTCAGCTATCTGCCTCAAGGCTGATCCTCTACTGCTTGAACCATGGCTGCACTTGCAAGTGTGTTTTTGAGTAAGACTCTCACAGAATTTTCTGCCTGTGCTGGTTTCAAGCCATGATCCTCAGACTTGAGCATCCTGAGTAGCTGATGTGAGAAAAACTCTCTTTTCTATCGAAGTGTATTGCTTATAAATTCCTGCCTTGGTGTGGTGGCTTGGCTCCTGTTAAGGAAAAGAAGAACTGATCTGGGATGAGAAAGGACTGTTGAAATGTAAGGTTCTGTCTTTAAACAGTTCTTTTTTCTTTTCAAGATGGAATTATGCCACACTCCAGACTATTCAAGATATAGCAGAGGGTGTGGACATACTTTATGATTACTTGTGTACTGTTAATCTTATTTCTAAGTCACCTTATATAAATACATTGTACACTATCAAACTAGCCAGTAGGGAACAGATTATGTTCCTGAACTCAGCTATTCTGACCAGAGAAGCAGGATCTCTGCATTAGGAGTAAACATCAGAGCAGCCTGCCTGCTCTGTGTGCTTGCTTGCCTGATTTTGGCCAGTGGCTCACCCTTCTACACAGAAGTAAATTTCGCCATGAGGAGCAGCAGTTCTTTATTTTTATGCTTATCGTTGTGAGCCCTGTGATTCTTAGGGAGCATATTTATTACACTAAGATTACAGGTGTGAGACACTGGGATCCAGTTTCATGGGCTTTTCTGCCTTTGCTAGTTTCAAAATACAGGTTATTTTTGTTGTTGTTATTGTTGTTGTTTGTGTTTGCCAGTCTTGGCCTTAGACTCTGGGGCTGAGTGCTTTTTTGGGGCTCTTTTTGCTCAAGACTAGCACTCTACCCTTTGAGCCATAGTGCCACTTTTGGGTTTTTCTGTAATTAATTGGAGGTAAGAGTCTCATGGACTTTCCTGCCCTTCCTTGGCTGGCTTCAAACTGTCATGCTCAGATCTCAGCCTGGTGAGTAGCTAGGATTAGAGGTGCAAGGCCCCAGCACCTGGCCTGAACTAGTCTTACAGATCTCAACCTCCTGACTGTGTGTGTGTGTGTGTGTGTGTATGTGTGTGTTGTGTGTGTGTATGAGGAAGATACAGAAATAATAAAACTCACCCATATGGACATTTATCAGAAAGATAAGAAATGTGGATAGAGGAGAGGAAGACAAGAAAAAAATGGTGGTAGGTGTTAGGTTTTCAAAGAGGATTCTGAGTAAGAACAATACCACCCATGTCATATTCAGGTAAGGGGTAGGTTTATTCATTGTTCTGGCTGGCACCAGGCCGTGTTGGCACTTCTCACAGCTGGCTAGTGTGAATTGCAGATGTCTGGCTAAATGGATAGAGCTAGGAGGGCCTTGCTTTGGGGAATGTGTAGATACACTGTGTTGTTTAGCCCCAGGGGAGCCCTCTTCCTTGTGCTGTGTTTATGTATAATGCTTTGCTAAGGCCTTGTCTCCACTGTAACGAGCTTGGTGCAAGTTCTGTTCTGGGTAACAGGTCTTTGTAACAGTTGGCCACCTGCAGACCTCTAGAGCTCCAATAAAGACTCCAAAACTTGACTTCTCTATTTTGTTATGACTGGATTTATATCTGATTTAAGGTACAATATTACAAACTCCATAAATTTCATTTTCCTTGTGACTAAGTAATATTCCATAATATGTTTCTACAATTTATATTACTTATTAAGCAACTCAGCGGACTGGGAATTAGCATGATTTAAGGAAACTGAGGCATGGTGAAGGCAACTGAGATGTGGTATTTAGAAACATAGAAGTGCCATCTTTGCTTCAAAGAGGGACAACGGGATGTATTCCTTCCTTGAAGGATGCATTCCTCACCCCAAGAATGAACTCTTGTCTGACTGGATTATTCCTACCTGAGAAAAACTGCTTCCCCAAACGTAAGCCGCTTGCTGCTCCCAAATGCTGATAGTGGGGCACCTCCTTGAGCCAAGGATAAAGATCTGTTTTATGGCAGGTTGCATTTTACCTGGAAACTCAGAAAGCAACAACAGGTGTGATTAGAGCAAAGACAAATCACTGTCTTTACATAACTTTGAAGCCAGATCCCCTGCCTTTACCCTGTAAATACCCTAACAGCCCAAGGAGCTGGGTGTTTCTCTGTGTCTCCTTCTGTGTGTGTGCTCTCCCTCTGGTCTGTGTCTCGCTACATGTTTATCTTGCGTGTGTCTCTATAACCCTGTAAAAAGAAGCATCCTCTGCTAGAGTGTGCTCTTGCCCTTCTGTTTGTTTTTTGTCTGTCAGTCTGTTTGCCTGTTTGTTTATTTATTCAATAAAGTTGTGCCAAGTTTTTTTACTGTTAGTGAAATGAGCTTCCTTCCCACAGCTTAACATGCTCCTTTCCTAGGCAACACTATTCCCATATAGTAAAGGCAGGAAATAATCAACTTCCAACCCCCTTTACCTTGGGATGGCAGTTCTCTGGGGCATCTACCACCATAGAAGGCAACAAGAGCCCCTTAGAGTGACTTCAGGTTAGGGCAGCTAACTATTTGGACAGCAGCCATAAATCCTAGTCTGCCATGATGAAGCCCCTGGCCCTCACATCCACACCAGGGTCTCCGCCTCGTAGCCCTTTCTAGTCCCTCCAAACCTCCTAGGCTATATAGGCCACCTCAGACAATAGCCAGTGCTTCTTCTCACTTCTCTCTGTGAGAAGGAGTCTTGATAGTCCCCTTTCCTGGCAATAAACCTTTCTTTATTCTCTGTACCTTGGATGTGTTCACGGTTCTCTGGCAAATCTAATAACCTTTCAGTTAAACTTTCACTTACCATTCTGACTTGTCCAGAAATTCTAATTCTGCGATCAAAGTCAAGGACCCTAAGTGAAGAGTTCCTACATTAAAAGGGAAGCTTCACCAAACCTCATCTCCAACTACTGAGAATTCCAGTCTGACTTTGTGAGCATAATAATCCTTTACAACCACCCCTAGGGACCATGTAGAATCAAGCAGGCACAGTAGAAAGATGGTTATAAGGTTTATTAGAGGGACCATATTTCCCAAGAGAAGGGGCAGAGGACATCTGCCCCTATCCAAGTGGCAGGTAGCTCTTGTGGCAGGTAGTGAGGGAGGAGTGTGTGTGTGTGTGTGTGTGTGTGTGTGTGTGTGTGTGTGTGTGTGTGTGTGTGTGTGTGTGTGCCCGGGTACACACGGACGCAGGTGGGTCTGGGTGGAGAAAAGTAGTGGCCAGCTGTCTGGAAGGACCTCTAGGGCAGGGAGGAGTTCAAGTCTGCTTGGAGCTGAGGACCTGAGGTGGGGATAATACTAGCAGCTACAATAAACATGGATATATATACACAGGTATCGCTTGTATATTGATTTGGAGGTCTTTGTTTATGTGCCCAAGAATAGTTAGCATGTTCATAAGATCCATTTATAGTTTGTTGGGGAATCTCTGCACTGATTTCCATAGTGATCACACTTGTTTACAGTCCCACTAACAGCATAGGAGAGTTTGCCCTCCTCCCCATCCTCATCAGCAATGGTTGTCTGTCTTCTTGATGATTTCAACCCCACTGGAGTGAGACAGAATCTTGGTGTAATTTTTGAATTGCATTTCTTTTCTGACTGAGGACTTCGAAACATACATTATTCTGAAAATTATTTGTTCAGTTTACTTGTTCATTTATAAATTGCATTATTTGTTCCTTTACTTTATATATTTTTGAGTTCTTTGTGTCACCAGAGGGAGGTCAGGGTTAGTGAAGTTTCCCTTTAAATGTAGGAATGCTTCACTTAGGACCTTTGACCTTGATTGCAGAATAAAAATTTCTGGACAAGTCACCAAGAAAACTTGGCACAGCTTTACTGAGTAATTATGGAAGCAGGCAAGTAGACAGACAGAAAAGAGACAGGCAGACAAACAGAAAGGCAAGGGCACATTCTGTTAGAGTGTACATGCTCTCACAGGGAGAGAATGAGACAAACATGGAGAGAAAGAGCCAGAGCCAGACGCAGAGAGACAAGGACACCCAGAGAGACACACAGAGACACACCCACGTAGAGAGAGACACACACAGCTCCATGGGCTCTTGGGCCATTTATAGGGTAAAGGCAGATTCTGGCTTCAAAGTTATGGTTTTACTTTCTGAGTTTGCAGGTAAGACTGCATCCCGAGTTAAGGAGGTCCTTGCTATCTGCATTTTGAGGCAGGAGGTTGCTTATATTTGGAGAAGCACTTTTCTCAGGAAGGCATAGATCCTGTCAGACAAGTGTTCATTCTTGGGGTAAGGAATGCATCCCTTACGAAGGGAGGTATTTCCCTCTGAAGCAAAGATGGTACTTCTGTGTTTTAAATTCCATATTTCTGAGTTGCCTTCACCAGGACTCAGTTTCCTTAAGTTATCCTGTCTCATTTTCCCCTAAATGACTTTCTTCCCTTAATTTTAAGGGAACTACATGAAGGCATATCTCCTGTATTTGCTGGTAGCTGACCATCATTTTTCCTGAGTCTATTCTGCTTTATTTGTATAATCTGGATATGGTATCTTTATCTATTGCATAGCTGGTCAAGACTTTCTCCCATTCTGTCAGTTGTCTCTTGTGTGTTGTAAACACAATGTGCAAGGTGTTTGGTGCTTTGGTTTTTGTTGGGCTTTTTTTTTTTTTTTTAAATGATACTGTTTAACTTTATTTATTTATTTTTAGTCTTTCGTGGTGCTTGAACTCTGGGCTTGGGCGCTGTCCCTGCCCTCTTCAGCTCAAAGTGAGCACTCTACCACTTGAGCCACAGCGCCACTTCTTTGTTGGGCTTTTATTGTAGTGCATTTTGAAATCATGACCTCATACTTGCCATGCAAGCTCTCTACCACATGAACCACACTCCTAGATATTTTTCTTTCTTTATTTTCTAAATAAGGTCTCACATGTATGCCCCAGCCCGCTTAAACCCCAGTCGTTTTAATATTTCCCCCTCTTCCTGGATGACAGCATATGACAGCATGCACAACTATGCCTATCTTTTGGTAGTTATGAGGAGGTCTTTACAAACTTTTGCTTGGGCTGACCTCAATGTCTGCACTGATTTCCATAGTGAGTGCACTAGTCTACAGTCCCACTAAGAGTACAGGAGAATTCCTCTCCGTCCACATTCTCATCAGCATTGGTTGTTTGTCTTCTGGATGATTTCATCCCTACTGGAGTGAGCCCTATTTTGGGCTTGTTTGTATCAACTCTCCCGAATTCCTTAAAATTGTGTGATTTTCACGGAAATATCTTCCTTCTTTTCTTTTCTTGAAGCAGTTTTGCTGTAAAGTAAAAATATCCAAACAAAAACAAAATCAGAAAACAAAGAAGACGTAGATTAAGCACATAATTCCTGCATGCCTGAGGACAGTCTCTGCCTGGCACCTTTGTGACCCAATATTAGAGGGCTTCACACTGGCCTTGACACCAGCGCATGCTGGGGGAGATGGTACTGACTGTTTCCTCTTATAACACTGTCATTTAGACCTTGGTGTTTGGAAAAAAATCAAAGGGAGAACACAAAATTTAAGGAATCATAAATTTTTCCCCATTTTAAATTGTGTATGTGTGTGTGTGTTTGTGTGTGTGTATCCTGGGGCTTGAACTCAGGGCCTTGGTAGTGTTCCTGAGCTTCTGTGCTCAAAGCTACTGCTCTACCACTTGAGCCACATATCCATTTTGATTTGTGGTGGTTAAGTGGAGAGAATAGGTCTCTTGGATTTTCCTGCCCAGGCTGGCTTCCAACCATGATGATCCTCAGATTTCAGCCTCCTGAGTGACTAGGATTATAGGTGTGAGCCATAAGTGTGTTCCTTATATGTTGGTTTCATATTTTTTAAATTCTCTTCCTCAAAATTTCCATTGCCTTTGGCAGGCACTTTGGGTAAATCTTATATGATCCAATTATTGAGGAACTTGTTCAACTATGCAAGAAGAAGACTTGTTTGTTTCTTGCCTGGTTTTAATTCCACAATTCTCCTTTTCCTTAAGAAATACCCAGGATTGTATCTATGTGATAAACTCACACCTTTCCCCATAATATATTGAGCACTCATAGTGCTGATGGGTAATAAAACCAGGGATCAGAGAAGAAGACATTTAATTTTCAGCTCATTTCTGAGAAAATATAAGCAATGTATGTTTCTTTCTTTTCTTTTTAAAATATTTTTGGGTGAGTTGTGGGGCTTGAACTCAGAGCCTGGGTTCTGTCCTGATTTCTCTTTTTTTGGAGGGGGGGAGGGGTCGTGTTCTGGGCCTGAACTCTGGGCCTGGACACTATCCTTCAGCTCTTCAGCCCAGAGCTAGTGCTCTACCACTTGAGTCACAGCACCACTTCCGGGTTTTTTCTTTTTGCTTATGTGGTGCTGAGGAATCGAACCCAGGGTCTCAGGCATGCAGGGCAAGTGCTCTACCAATGAGCCACCTTCTCAGCCCCTGTCCTGATCTCTTTTGCTCAAGGCTAGCCCTCTACCATCTTGAGTCACAGCTCCACTTCCAGTGTTTGAGTGGTTAATTAGAGACAAGAGCCTTGTTATGGGGACATTTTTGCTTGGGCTGGCTTTGAACTGCAATACTCAGATCCTCAGATCTCAGCCTCCTGAATTGCTAGGATTATAGGCATGACCTATCACCACCTGGCAAATGTGTATTTCTCATAAAAGGACAGACTATATGTCATGTATAAGTTTGACTAAATTGGACCTTTCTACCAGTAAACTTACTGGTGTAAGACAGCCTGTGTCAACCTGATGAGATTGATTTGGGAAGAGAAAAGAGGAGGAGGGAGAGTGAAGGAAGGTGACTCTGATCACTAGGCATCATTGTATAACAAATCGATGTTAATAAGAAAACAAAAACCCACAGGCAGCCTGTGTGATCTAGAGAGCCTCAGAGGCGTGTTCAAACTCAAGAACGCAATGCCACCCTACAAAATTAAGAAGAGTGAGGGAAGGGGGGGTGCGAGAATGCTGAAAGGGATGACACTGATGAAGACTCATCGTATCACAAGATACCTTGTTAAATGGCAACTCCTTTGTAGAGCTACTTACAAAGAGTAATAACAAACACAATACCAAGCAATTGTGTGGGTAGGGATGAGGTTGGCAATGAATAAGTGACTTGTATTCACACAGAATCTCCCTGGTCACAGGTACAGGACACAGTCCCTCCCTAGGCAGGTGCCCACTGGAGTGTTTACTTACTCATTTTCCACATCCTGGATAGTGTTAGGGAGAGGCCGGTTTCTTGTTTCTGGAAGGCAGAGGACTGCAAGGACAGAAAGCATGGGGAAGGCTCCATAGAGAATCCAGGGCAGGTGGGGAGAATACACTGCTAAGGTCATAAAGAGAGGCGCCATCACTGCCCCTACTCTGCCGAAAAGTTCAGTGATTCCTCCAATTGTTGACCTTAGATTGCAAACAAAATAATAAAGAAAATGTTTAAGAACTTTACATGTATATTTTCTTTTTCTTTTTTACATTTTTGGATCTGGTCGTGGGGCCTGAACTCTAGGCCTGGGCGCTGTCCCTCAGCTCTTCAGCTCAAGGCTAGCGCTCTACCACTTGAGCCACAGCACCACATCCGGCTTTTTTTCTTTTTACTTACGTGGTGCTTAGGACTCGAACCCTGGGCCTCATGCATGCAAGGCAAGCACTCTACCACTGAGCCACCTTCCCATCCTGTATATTTTCTTTTTGTTTTTTAAAAAAATTTTTTTTTGGATGTGGGGCTTGAACTCTGGGCCTGGGCCCTGTCCCTCAGCTCTTCAGCTCAAGGCTAGCGCTCTACCACTTGAGCCACAGTGCCACTTCCTCCTTTTCTTTTTTTAAAGCCTTGATCTTCCTATGTAGACAAGGACGAGACTGTCCTTACTTGCTCTCACAACTTCTAGGATTTCAGGTATCTGACATCATGCCTGGATCAAGTAAATTTTATTTATTGTCTTCATTTCATTTTGGAAGCAACACAATAAAGTTATTAAACACATAGGCTCTGGCAGCCAGTTGTCAATTGTCACACTTACTGCTAATGATTTATAACCCTTAGTTTCATTATTCTTAAAATAGGGATACCTACAACACTAAATGAATGTTTTAGAAGGAGCATCTCTCTCAACATAATACAGGATATATACTCAACTTACAACCCACAGTTAAACTTTTTCTTCTAGTCCAAGGCTTGAACTCAGGGTGTGGGTACTATCCTTGAGCTTTTTCTCCAAAGGCCAGTCCTCTACTACTTGAGCCACAGCTCCAGTACTGTCTTTCTTTGGTTAATTGAGATTAGACACTTATGAACTCTTGCCTGAGCTGGTTTCAAACTGTGATCTTCAGATTTCAGCCTCCTAAGCAGCTAGGATTACAGGCATGAGCACTGACAGTGAGCTTTCAATTAATTTTTATTTTTTTTATTTTTTGTCTTTTTGGGTCCGGTTGTGGCACCTGAACTCTGGGCCTGGGCGGTGTCCCTCAGCTCTTCAGCTCAAGGCTAGCGCTCTACCACTTGAGTCACAACACCACTTCCGGCTTTTTTCTTTTTGCTTATGTGGTGCTGAGGAATCAAACCCAGGGCCTCATGCATGCAAGGCAAGCGCTCTACCACTGAGCCACCTTCCCAGCCCCTCAGTTAATTTTTATGTCTAGCAATGTGCCATGTCCTTTGATGAAGTCATACTCTTCCCTTTTTTATTCATGTGTATTGTACAAAGGACTTTGTATTTTGATAATTCTTATATTATGTGATATATACACAATCTACCTTAATCTCATTTACCCTGTTTTATTCTTTCTTATCTTCCCTCTCTCCTTTTTGAAACAATTTTAACACGTTTCACTATTTTGTTTCCATACATACATAGTTTTTCAGCCATAATCTCCCCATGTCCTTCTCATTTTATGCTTCCAATGTTTGCTCGTTAGTTAATGATTATTATTGAATGAATTATTAAGTGGATTGATTTTTTGCTTTTTAATTCTTTGAGAGCTTTATATGCTGTATATTAATCTTTTATTTGATTAATATTTTGAAATGCATTTTTTTCCATTCTGTTGTCCTCTGGTCACCTGGTAATCATTTCTTTCACAATTCAGAAGTTTTTGTTCTCAATTCTTGATTCTACTTGCTGATCAATTAGAGTGTTATTCAGAAAGCTATCACCTATGAAAACATCTTTGGTTCTTTGCCTGTGCTTTCCTCAATCAGTTTCACAGTTTCAGGCCATAATTAGTATCTTGATCCATTTTGTATTGAATTGATTTTTGTAGGGAGTGAGAGATAGTAACCTACTTTGAATTGCTTATATTTATTTATATATTGTGTTTCCCCAACTATTTGTTAAAGAGGCTATCCTTTTTGAATGTAAGTTTTTCCCCTTTGTTTAAGATCAGATGGCCAGAAGTTGTGTGTTTTTTTTTTTCCTGTGTCTTCTTTTCCATCAGTCTAGGTGTCTACTTTTTGTGTTGGTACCATGTGGTTTTTGATACTGTATCTCAATAGTGTATTTTGATGTTGGGAAGTTTGCCATCTCTAGCAGTGTCCTGTTAGTTCAGGATTGCTTTGTCTAGTTAAGATCTTGTGTAATCTCATGAATTTTAGGATTGATTTTTTTTCTATTTGTATAAAATGATATTGGAATTTTGGAACAGCTTGTATTGAAACTAGATTCCCTTCAGTAGTTCACCACATTATTTATTCTCCTGATTCATGAACATGGGAGATCCATTTTCTTTTTATCTTTATTGGCTTCTTTAGAAAAAAAAGATTAGTACCACCCAAGCATAAGCAGCCAGGGACAGCAGTCAGGCCCTGAGATCAAGTCCCAGGACCAGCACCACAAATCAAAGTGATATGGGTCATCTATGAAAAAATCATGGCTTCTTTGTTAAAATGTGTCGTTTTTCTTGTAGAAGCCTCTCACCCCCTGCGCTGGCTTACTCCAGGGATTTAATTTTTGAGGCTATTGCAAGTGCAACTCTTTTCTTTCTGACCCTCATTATTATTGGTAAATAGAAAAACAACTGATTTTTCCTCTTTCCTGGTTTTTTTTTTGTTGTTGTTGTTTTGTTGGTGGTGGTGGTCTGGGGGCTTGAGCTCAAGGACTCTATTCCTCAAGGCTACCACTTTAAGGCACAGTTCCACTTCTGATCCTTGACTTTACAGGAAATAGGTTTATTTTTTCCTTCTTAGTGCAGTGTTGCCTATCAATTTTAACATATAGCCTTTATTATGTAGAGGTATGGTCCTTCTAAATATTTAAATGTTTTATTATTTTTTTGAAAGTTGAGAAGTTTTAATTTTGTCCCCACAATAAATGTCATTAGTTCAGAAAATCTTCTCTGGAAGCAGACCAGATTTTGTTTTGTAATTTTTAAGTGTTATGTAGCCCAGGATATCTTAAACTTGAGACAGTACCTCACTACAGTTGGGATGAGCTCCATATAGTGAATTGAATAGGCTGTGAGGCCAGTGGTATCAGCACCAATTCCCAGAGTTGCTAAAACCATGCGCAGGGTCTGCTGAGTTTCTGTAGAGAGGAAGACACATCAGAAGCAGGCATACTTGACTGGAGAAATCTGTCTACCCCAAACAATTATGAGAAGTTCTATTGGAGGGATTTGCTAGCAAGAAACATGTGATAAATAAACAGGACCTAGCAGAAACCATGTAACAGATGAGCTAGTGAAAGCAGACTCTAGTATGTTTGGGCGTAAGCACTGAATGAAGGAATAGAAAACATTTGCTTCAACTCTTCCTGCCCGTTTGAGTTTTATCAGACATGGCAGAAGCAGGAAAAGTCAGGAAATGCTCTTTTTGTTGTTGTTGTTCAGGATGTGGTAGGAATACATGGATAAAAATCCGAGGCATTGAGCCTGAGAAGATGGCTCATTGGTAAAGTGCTTGCCTTGCATTCATGAGGCCCTGAGCTCGATTCCTCAGCACCACATAAGCAGGAAAAAGAAAAGCTGGAAGTGGTACTGTGGCTCAAGTGGTAGAGCGCTAGCCTTGAGCTGAAGAGCTGAGGGACAGCGCCCAGTACCAGAATTCAGGGCCCACAACCGGACCCCCCCCAAAAAAATCCGAGGCATTAATGACTCATGCCTTCAACAGTTTAGAACTAAGAACAGGAGATTATTTCTTGACATAGGACAGGTATTCCAACAGATGTACTAACAAGCGAACTGGATTCCATTGGGCGTAAACTTTGTGAAGAAAGCCGGATCTAGATAACAAGCCAGGATTTTATAATCTTTACGTTAGGACTCCCGTGTAGAACCTAGTGCTGTGTTGGGAATCACTGACACAGAAAATGGAAAAAGTTTTGAAACCTAATAAAAGTAGTCAAAGATATGATTAAAAACTAAGGTACTTTCAGAGGAGAGCCGGCTGGCAGCAGGATATAGAAGGGAGTATACAGTTCTAGCTTCTTCAAATACATTCCTGCCGTGAGAACATGATGGAGGGGACCAATGTAGTCCCCACTGTAAGGGTTGAGAAGCTCCCTGCACACAAGGAAGACTCTAAGAGACGTTCTCTCATGCAAAGAGCAAGGGGATTTATTCACCAAGCATGCAAGGGGCTCACTGAATACACAAGAACAGAGAGCCTCAAGCTGAAAGCAGGCAGGGTTTATAAAGGCAAAAGACTACAAAGTGACAAAAAGATACATTAACCAGGTGTTAACATTCCAGGGGGGTTAGCATCAGCTGGAGGTTATGGAACCAAAAGCTACAAAGTGACAGTAACCAGATGTTAACATCCCAGGCGGTTAGCATCAGTGTCCCCTGAGTGAGATGAAGTTGTTTTTGCTAGAGTTATTTTTGCTCTTTTACTTTCTCACCCACAATCATCACTTAAAGTCATGCAATTAATATAGTAAATTGTGCTGGGTGAGTTTCTTCATCTATTTGCTATTTAGGAATATATTATAAAAAAAGCTGGAATATACCGACTCAAGGGGTGACAAAAAGAAATGTACTCTTACCTGACTTACACAACCATAACCCCTCTTATATCTCCTTTATAAGAAAAAAAATTTAGGTGGGAAAGTGGCTCAGTGGTAGAGCGCTTGCCTTGCATCCCTGAGGCCCTGGGTTCTATTCTTCAGCACCACATAAGCAAAAAGAAAAAGCCAGAAGTGGTTCTGTGGCTCAAGTGGTAGAGCACAAGCCTTGAGCTGAAAAGCTGAGTGACAGTGCCCAGGCCCAGAGTTTAGGCCCCACGACTGGACCCAAAAAAAAAAAAAAAAAAAGAAAGAAAGAATAAATTTAAAAACCATACTTAAGTTAGTGTCTTGTCTTTTTCCTATTGTATTCTTTCTCTCTGCCTGAAGGCAAGGTTTATTTTTTATTGTTGATGTTTATTTTTTGTTTTTGTTTTTCTAAATCTTATTCCAGTAGCCTGGTGTTCCTGGTACATGCCTGAAATTCTAGCTATTTAGAAGGCTGAGATCTGAGGATGGCAGTTCAAAGCCAGCCTGGGCAGGAAAATCCATTAGACCCTTATTACTGATTTACCACCACAACACTGTAAGTGATGCTATGGCTCAAAGTGGTAGAGTGGTAGTCAAGCCAAAGAGTTTAGAGACAGCAACCAGGCCCTGAGTTCAAGCTCCATGACTGAACCCCTGCCCCCAAACCCCCAAATCAACATCACCAACAAAACCCTTCATTCAAATCAATGAGCCTCTTTTTTAAAACTGTTGCATTTAGAGTGTAACAAAGGAGAGAATGACCAAGATAGAAAGACTTGATAAATTGGAAAAAATAATTCCAGGGAGAGGATTGTGTGTCTTCCTGGGTTTACAATTGCAAGATCTTTGATAACACAATGCATGCAATTAGTTCTAAAGAAATTATTAGGTATCAGTGGCACTGATGTTCAGCTTTATCGTAGATTTGATAAGGACAGCCTCGGGTCCTCAAGAACATTGGCTCCTTAAGAACTTTGGCTCAGTAAGAGCCTAAGTTTTGCCAACAACTGCTGTAGGGACAGCTTCTAAGCCTTCACATTAACTTCATGGGATCCTCCGGTTATCCATGGTGATGCCATTCTTTTGGCCCAGATGAGTAAACCAAAGAAATTTCTGGAAGATAGGAGACATTACTTACTTTTCCCCAACTCATTTCTCACCTGGGGACAAAAAGGTGCTGACCAGAATCGAAAGTCCTGTCAGGAACATGAATAGTATCTGACTTTGTTTTCGGCCCAGATAATTCAATACCAAGAAGGCAACAAATCTGCTGATGAGTGTGACAAGGCCAAAGAGAATCTGGAACAGAAAGATATTGCTCCCCAGGTGCTGCAGGTTGAGTATCAGGCCGAAGAAGGGTATAGACAGTGCCATTCTGAAGTTAAAAGAATAAAAACACATTTAAAATGATAGAGCAAATTAATTTAAGATACAAAGGAAAAGAAGATCAGTGAAGCTGGGGGCCGGTGGCTCACACCTGTAATCCTAGCTACTCAGGAGGCTGAGATGTGAGGATACCGGTTCAAGTCCGTGAGACTCTCATGAAAACGGAAGTGGCGCTGTGGCTCAAGCAGTAGAGCGCTTGCCTGGAGCTGAAGAGCTCAGGCATAGCGCCCAGGCCCAGAGTTTAAGCCCCATGACGGACCAAAAAAAAAAAAGTCAGTGAATTCCTTGCTTTCCCTGGGGAAATAGTACAAGATTCCCTGCAGGTGAACACAAATGTATCAGTAGACATTAGATTTAGGTTCAAATCATTGTGACTCATACTTTCCTGCCTATGACGTATTTTGGTAAAAATTCTTCATGAACTTCAAAATACTGTTTCATCATCACTACTGACTAGATGAAGAAATAAGATTAATCTCTATTAAGTGACTTGTTCTGTATCTCAGCACTGGTATGGAACCCTCTTCCATTCAACCTCTGTAATGTTCATTCCAATTACTGTATGCTTTTTGTCTCACAAGATGTGAGATATTTAGCAAATTTATTAGTCAGAGATGTCTTCAACATACACGTATTCAAAACATATACAGCATTTAAAAATATATTATAATCTTGGGCTGGGAAGGTGGCTCAGTGGTAGGGTACTTGCCTTGCATGCTTGAGGAACTGGGTTCAATTCCTCAGCACCATATGACAAGAAAAAGCCAGAAGTGGCACTGTGGCTCAAGTGGTAGAGCACTAGCCTTGAGCTGAAGAGCTAAGGGACCGTGCCAAGGCCCAGAGTTAGGCTCCATGACCAAAAAAAAACAAAACAAAACAAACCTATTATAATCTTATATCTTTTTTTTTTTTTTGGCCAGTCATGGACCTTGAACTCTGGGCGTGGGCGCTGTCCCTCAGCTCTTCAGCTCAAGGCTAGCGCTCTACCACTTGAGCCACATCGCCACTTCCAGCTTTTTTCTTTTTGCTTATGTGGTGCTGAGGAATCGAACCTAGGGCTTCATGCATGCAAGGCAAGGGCTCTACCACTGAGCCACCTTCCCAGTCCTAATCTTATATCTTATATATAACATGTATACTTTATATTATATTATGTATACTATGTATTATGTATGTTACCTATAGCTTATATGTTTAAAATATATCTTGAATATAATAAGTATGTATAATTGAGTTTCAAATTAAATGCATACAATGGAATCATGTGCATTTTCACAAGCAGCCAGAGTGTTTTGTTTGTTTTTTGTTTGTTTGCCAGTCCTGGGGCTTGAACAATGGCCTAAGCACTGTCTCTGAGCTTCTGTGCTCAAGGCTATTATTCTACCACTTGAGCCACAGTGCCACTCTGGCTTTTTCTGAGATTATTGGAGATAAGAGGTTTATAGACTTTCTGGTGGGGCTCTCTCAAACAATGACTGTAAGATCTCAGCCTCCTGAGTAGGTAGGTTCACAGGCATGAGCCACTGATGTCAGGTCGTGTGCACTTTTCATTTAATTTAATCAATGCAAAATGCATCATACTGGTTAGTGTCTCATGCCAGAACTCCGATGGGCCTTAGGAAAGTGAATCCAAGCCAAAAAATTGTTTCAGTAAATCTTTCCAATGCTTTCTCTCTAATAATAGAAATTCATGGTCTTTTAGATTTTCTCTTGTTTTCTTCCCCTGCTCAAGTATCTCAATGCCACTATAATATAACAAAGAGAACAGAGTGGTTTATTTCTATACAAGGATTGTGACTACTTGCTCTAAAATGTTATACTCACTTGCAATTAAAAGAAACACATTTAATAATACTTAGTGTTTAAGAAACATTGACTGGGATTTTTCCTTGTATGTTGTGCTAAAATTCATGACAATATTGGCCTAGGGAACTTTTAGTTGCTCAATGTACAGATGGAAAACTAGTGTCACACACCAATTAATAGCATCTCTGGGCAATAGACTGTTGGAAAGCACTGTCCTTTGTCATTAAAAAATTTTAATTGTTGTTACAAAGATGATGTACAGAGGTGTTAGAATTCCATAAGTCAGGGAAAGAGTTTATTTCTGTCACTGTCCTTTGGAGGGGAATCATAGTTGGGAAGGCACTACAATTTCAATAACCAGCAACAAACCATATCAAAATAGAGAGATGGAAATGCTGGTGGGGAACCCAGGGACCTGACTGCTCTGCTTTAAGAGGACAAAGAATTCAGGGTGGGTCAATGAACTCCCTGAAGGTACTAAGTTCCAACACATCTGTGGTAAGTGAATTATCCCAGAAGCCATATTTTGGAAGATGGAATTTTGGAGTCTTTATGACACAGCAGGCTGCATGCAGCCAGTTGTTACAAAGGCCTGTAGTTCCCAAATACATATAACACAGTTAGGAACCAGGCCAGAGAGCAAAGAAGGAACAAAAACAAAGCAAGAAACCAATTCAGCTCCAATTGAGAGTGAGTTGGGATGCTACAAGGACCAGGGATGAGCCAGGAGCCGGGACACAGGACAGGATCATGGAGACACATGGCATAGCATCCCTGCCTAAGTAGGGTCCATGCAGGGGGCAAGTTCACAGGACACTTCCCAGGTACTGGACTACAGGTTCAGCAACCTATCAGCCAAGTGCCTGCCAGTATCTCCAGGGATCAAGTATGCCCCTTACCTGAAGGTTGGCGATATCACCCTCCCCCACAATGAAAGCAAGTTAACATCTGCATTTCTCTGAAGCAGAGCCTCCTAGCTCACCTTGAACTAAGCATCTGCATTTCAAAGGATGGTTTGTGTCACCTCTAGGCCAGCCCCCCCCCCTCTCCCCCCCATCTCCTGCTTAGGTACCAGGATATGTGCAAGAAATTATTTAGGCTCAGCTACCTTACTTCATATCCAAAGGGAGAATATGGTTTTGAGTGAACAGAAGCATTCAAGATCCAAGGTTCAGCAGATTAGAAGCTTCCTGTGTGTAAGGGGAAAGACAACATACTAAGGAAAGAAAGAGAAGAAGACCATTAGGAACTGTGAAAGAGGAGAGGACAGCTAAACACCTGGAGGTGCAGAAAGGCCATGGAGAGAAAAGAAGAAAACATCCATACTTGAAGGAGGTTATGCTAAAGCCACTACCACAAGGGCTGCCAGGCAAGCTGGGGGACCACAGAGTAGACATCCTGGACACAGGAACAAACATGAAACCCAGTGTGGATGTGGGATTTGGTGTGATAGTGACTCTTGTTGGGCAGTCTAGAACTGGAGCACAAAGGAATTCTGTCACTCTCCATAGCTCAGAGTGTACATATATTGGGTGAGTGTCAGTGACTCATGCCTGTAATCCTAGCTCCTTAAGTGGCTGAGATCTGGGCTGGGAAGGTGGCTCAGTAGTAGAGTGCTTGCCTCTTGTGCATGAAGCCCTGGTTTCGATTCTTCAACATCACATAAGCAGAAAAGTTGGAAGTGGCTTTGTGGCTCAAGAGGTAGATTGCTAGCCCTGAGCTGAAGAGCTGAGGTACAGTGCCAAGGCCCAGAGTTAGGCCCCATGACCGATGAAAAGAAAAAGAGAGAAGGGGGGAGGGTGGCTGAGATCTGAAGTTTAAGTTTCAAAGCTAGCCTGTGCAGAAAGTCTGTGAGACTCAGGCAGAGTGGAGGTATGCCTCAACTGGAAAAGTGCTAGCCTTGAACAAACAAGGTAAGGGACAGTGCCCAAGTCCCAAGTTCCAGCCCCAGGATCAGCAAACACACACCAACATACACATAGGGCATTTTTTTTTAATTAACTTGGAATTTGTTGGGGGAAGCCAAAACTAACTCCTTTTTTAATATACCAGGAGTTCCCCCTCACCCCTGAAAATCAAAATACTGGTTTTTCATAAGCCCTCAGGGTCAGGAAATATGATGTTTGTTGAGACCCCAGGAAATGTGGAAAGCCCTGCTGATTGTTGTGGTTGAAAGACCCCAGACTCCTAGGATACTTTCATCTACGGGAGGACGCCCCAGAAGCCAAGACTCCAAACCAGTAGATGCAACAAGCAAGAGGAGTTTATTCAGCGTTTGTGCAAACAGTCTCTCTGCCCCAGCAAGGGAGAGAGCCCTGAGCAGCGGTTACAGGCATTCTTAAAGGCAAAAACCACAAGATTAGCATATAACACCAGGTGTCCCCGGGATTGGCCCGTTTAAAAGTCACTATGTACTCCAGCAATCATTTTTACTACGCGGGGAAGTTTATAACACTCTGTAAAAATGATTGGCGCGGGTGATTTAAAGGAGGTAGTCACTCTGGGAGGTAAGAGTTAGGGGAGTTCACATAGTAACAGGCTTGTGATTGATTAACATTTGGCCTAGTTTGCTGGACTTGCCAGGTGGTCCTTATCTTGGGTCCCATTCTTGGGTCCCATTTTTGGGTCCCGTTTGGCCACTTGGGGAATTTACTTGTTTGTTCTTTAACTATGACCACAGACCTTGTCCCAGGGCGGCATCTGGGCTCCCAGACTTTTTACTCAATTCCTTATTTCCAGAAGGGAGGGGGATTAGTGCTAGGGCGAGCAAGTTTACAAAAGCAAAATCAGCAGTTAGCAATTGTAAAATGTAATTCTAATTTTTAATCTTTCAGTGGTAAGGTTGTGAGATCTGCAGCTCTGTTTGGTTATCAGTAGTCCAGATAAGATCAGCCCTGTTTGGTTAACAATAGTAGAACAGCCAGGCCATCTAGCCCTATCCTGCCCCCCAGGAGAAAGAATACCTGTTTGCTTTGTGTGGGCCCCCCCCCCCAAATTCACTGGCCTAATCAAACCAGAATGATAGATTAGTTAGAACAGATAGTATGAGATGGACTCTAACTCCACTGGCCACTGACATAAATATGCAATCTTTATGTGGGTGTTGTAAACATTTTGGCCACCTGCCTGTGGCCAGGCTTGACCACATGGATTTTGCCTTTAAAAACACTAGCTTGTGGGCCATTCAGGGTCACAGTTTTCATGTGTGCTGCATCCCTGGCCGGTCAGCTTTCCTCTTCCCCAGTAAAGTCATCTTTTTACTTGAGGCTATCTCTGAGTAGTGGACTCTTTTCCCCATAACAGAATTCAAGGGCTAACAAAAACTTCTTTTTTTTTTAAAGAAGCAAAATAATCTCAGAAAGAGAGCGATAAGTATGGTTATTATTTTTCTTAATGGGAGTAAGGTAGAAGAGAAATGATTCAAGGAAAGAAAATGTGCTCATTTGGTTGGCTAACTTATGGGCCTATGGATTTATAATGGATCTCGATGAACACAGACTTTGTGCCTTTTTCTTTTTTGTAAGTAATGGTGTTTTATCTCAGGCATGAGAACATGGATTCTGTTACTTGAGCCACAACCCCAGCTCCTTTTCCTTTTGTTATTTTTCAAAGAGAGTCTTGCTTTTTGCCAGGGCCATCCAGGACCCAAACCTGCCTATTTATGCCCCTGCATAGCTGTGATGACACCACCCCTTTCTTCTGATTGGTTGAGATGGAGTCTTGTGAACTTTTTGGCTGAGCTGACCTTGAACTGAGATCCTCCCAACATCAGCACTTAGAACACTTAGAATCATGTTGTGAGCCTCTGTGCCTGGCTACTATTTTCTTTATGTAAGTTCTATTTCAATAAAAACTAAAAAGATAAAATGTTCAAGTATGTTTCACAGTAGATTACTCCATATGCTAGTATGCAGTGCTGAACTTTGTTCTGGAATGTGATTTCCAGTTCAGTCTCACTGAGAGATCTCATAAGGTAACCTTAAAAGGTGGTAATTAAACATAAACCCTTTAACATCATTTTTCTTATCTTATGTATTGATGTGTTGTATATAATGCTGCCACTGTTTTGTTTTGTTTTGTTTTTTGTTTTTGAGAATCCTGGGGCCTGAACTCAGGACCTTCATGTAGTCCGTGAGCGTCTTGGTGCTCAAGGCTAGCACTCTACTACTGGAGCCGCAGCTCCACTTTCTGGTATTTTCTTAGTCATTTAATGGAGATAAGCGTCTCATGGACTTTCCTACCTTAGGCTGGCTTTGAACTGTGATCCTCAGATCTCAGCCTTTTGAGTAGCTAGGATTACAGGCATGAGCCACCAGTAAAAGACCTGACCAATAATTTACCTGAGACCTCATTTTATTCTGGAATTTAGCCTCTAACCTACTGCAGTCCTAAAGCCAGAAAATCCCACAGAAAGCTAAGTAGAAACAGTCCTTGGAAAACTGCAGATGATGCTTACCTAAGCCAAATTGCCTGAGATTCCAGACAGAACCCCACCTAGGAGTAGTGACCAATATCTAACCAGAAAGTCCTGCAGTTCTGCATGTACTCCCTTGCACCACCCTTGTGACTTTAACCAATAATTTTAAAGCGCATCAACCTCTTGATCTGACCAATAACTCTTTCTGAATTTCTTCCCGCCATTGGACCCATGAACCATGTATTAGAGATGTTTTATGATTTTCCTTCGGTGTGTGTTGAGTTGTCAAGGAATGATGTGAGGAGTGCAAAGCCCCAGCCTTCCATAAAGAGTGTATGAAATGGCTGCAAACCCCAGGCTCGGGCCTCTCAGTGTCACCAGTTGTTTGTGGTGTGCGCAGATGATCGAGCTAGCTTGCAATAAGTACCTCGCTGCTGATTACATCGATCTTGGTTTCTGGTGGTCTTTTTGGGCATCCCGAACTCAAGCATTATACCAGTCCCTGGCCTGCTGTTGCTATTCTTTTTGAACGAATAAATGTAGTTCCTCTCTAATAAGATATTGGAGGTAAAACATATTGATAAGTTTATTTAAAGGAACATACCTGATAAAACTCAGGCAGCAGCTTCTCATACACAGCCTGGGTGTGTGGAGCAACTGAAAAATGGATATTTTTGCCTTGGCGTCCTCAAACTCCTCCTGCAGGTTGGATTTCACAACCTTGGACAACAAAAGTCATAAGCATTCATGAGGTGTCAATCATGTGTCAATTATATTGCTAAATACTAGAAGATGAAACACATATGGTGTGTTGAATCCTCCAGGAAAACTACAGAGTAGGGACTTGGGCATTAAATCCATCTCAGGTGGGAAGAACCATGAAAGATACAGGAAGAGGGGAATTAGATAAGATTAAAGCCTGTTTAAATATTGAGGCAAGGACAAGTAAAGAACCTTGACATTTAATCGTGTGTGTGTGTGTGTGTGTGTGTGTGTGTGTGTGTGTGTGTGTGTGTGTGTGTGTGTTGGTCCTATGGCTTGAAGTCAGGGCCTGGGTGGTGTCCCTGAGCTGCTTTTGCTCAAGGCTAGACTCTAACACTTGACTGTAGCAACTCTTTTGCCTTCTTTTTTTTTTTTAATTTTTTTTGGGGGGATCCGGTTGTGGGACCTGAACTCTGGGCCTGGGTGCTGTCCCTCAGGTCTTCAGCTCAAGGCTAGCGCTCTACCACTTGAGCCACAGCACCACTTCCAGGTTTTTTTCTTTTTGCTTATGTGGTGCTGAGGAATCAAACCCAGGGCTTCATGCATGCAAGGCAAGCCCTCTACCACTGAGCCACCTTCCCAGTCCTCTTTTGCCTTCTTCTGTGTGGTTTTTTGGAGATAATAGCCTCAGGCTGGCTTTGGGTTTTGATCCCCTGTTCTCAGCTTCCTGAGTAGCTAGGATTACAGGGGTGAGACACATGTGCCTGGCTTGCGTTTATTATTTTTATAACAGTTTATTCATTTTCTATATTAGGCCTGTGGAGAGTTAATACTGGATATGACAAACTGTTCTATCAGTGAGTTAGTACTTTAGATTATCCAAGTAAAGACACAAAATACAAAATGAGGAAGTGTTGCTGAAATGTTTCTTGGGACACTATTTAGGAATACTGTTTATTTGAAATGTTATCTATCATTAATGACAGATGTGAAGAATTCAGAGCTCTGATTGAAAGGCAAGAGTTTGTTGCTGAGGACCAGTCTGCTAGAATTTTCCAAGCCTTCAAAACTACAATAGGAATTTCTAACCTTTGCCTAGCTGGATTCAGCTAGGCTCTGGATTCCTTTGTATGTTACCTCTCCCTTTTGAACAAAAACAATACAGTATTTCCACAGTGCTCATATAATTATTGCATATTGGATGAGTTTGGGACAGGTGGACTTTTTTTTTTTTACTCTGTAGCTTCACAGATTTATATGTAAAGATTCTATAATCAGAGAACAATGCTTAAGTAGTCCCATCCACATTTACACCTCATTAAAATGTTAAGATTCTGTGGGTTAGAGGTGGAGATCATTTTCGTACCATGTAAGAGGCCCTTAATTTAGTACCCAGCACTAGGAAAAATAGATTCTGAACTTTGAGCATATGTTGGTTGTAATGAAAGGAAACTTTTGGAGACACTGCTATTTCATATAGCAGAGGGATGACATTACTTTGATTGGGAACATACAACCTTTGTGTCTTCCTTGGTTAGCATTTTCTTATGTGGCATTTGCTGTCTTTCAGAGCAGCCTGTGGGCACGTTTGTCTGCAGTGTCACTGCCGCCCAGTTTGGTGATGTGTCAAAGGCCTCCTCCAGCTCTTATCACCTTAGTCCTTTCTAGACCATTAATGCTGGCTGAACACTTTTTGGTTTTTTCACCAATGCCTGGCACATAGACTGGATTAGCACCGATTTTGTATTAGACTGTCCCTCAATTTTTCGGCCCTAGTTTAAAATGTTTCATGCAGACAGATGCTATGAAGTTAATTCCGTTAGTAATATCCAACACTGTGCTGACACACTTTACGTATTCAAAGGTATTTATTTAATTCTTTCTTTCCTTAAGCTGCTCCTGGGACTTGAACTCAGGGGCTAGGCATTGCCCTTGAGCTTTGGTGTACATGGCTGCCACTCTGCCACTTGAGTCATAACACCACTTCCAGCTTTTTGATGATTAATTGGAGATATGGGCCTCACAAATGTTCCTTCCTGGGCTAGCTTTGAGGCTCGATCCTCAGATATCAGCCTCCTGAGTAGGTAGGATTATAGGCATGAGTCACTAGGACCCAGCTACAAAGATTTTAAAATGAGTGAGTAAAATGTATCTATGAGTGAGCCAGCCATATTAGGACCTAGGTTCTAGAAATATGGAGAAAAACAAATAAGAGAAACATCAACAAACCTTACAACAAGAAAAGAAATGCAAAAAAAAAAAAAGATTTTCAAAGAGCTTTTCTACATAGGCAACATCTTGGTACTCTCTGATAATGACAGTGTAAATATCAGAGAAAGAAGGACTTTTATATAATTACTGCCAAAGCACTGGGATTAGAACAAGATTTCCTATTTGTTGCCTACTAAGCATTTAATTTTTGAATGAAATGCATGGAAGTTAAAATGATATTTAATGCTTTCCCTAAAGTGAACCATGATTTATTGAACTAGTGAGAAAGGGTTACTGCTTCCTTGCCCATATGTGTGTCGTGTGTGGGAAATTGGTCTTTTATTCAAACAATGATGTGATTTCTGACAAAAGATAGACACATTTTTTTATTTGGTTCCTCTTTCTCTACACAATAATAAGACTGTGGGGGAACTAAGATGGTGATGTGCAAGTGTCAGTTAGAAGCAGCGAGCTCAGGAGGCTGAGAACAGAAGAGCCCAGTTCAATGCCAGCCTTGGCAGGAAAGTTGCCAAGACTCATATCTCTAGTCAATCAACAGAAAACTGGATGTAGCATGGTGCCTCAAAGTGATAGAGTGGTAGCCTTGATGGAAAAAGCTCAGGGTCAGTATCCAGGCCGTGACTTCAAGCCCCATGACCGAAAAAAAAAAAAAAAAAAAACTTCTAACTTAGAAAATTCTAATTTGGAATATGCCTAGAGGACCCAGAATAGTAGGACTGTGAGGTCAAATCATCCATTCCCAGTAATCAGCCCCCTTCTCAGATCACCTCGATGCTCAGGGTCTCCCCAGCATTCTTCTTTCCATTTATACGTGCAACTCTTCTAAGTTCCTCTAAGCCCTTTTCTAGCTGATTGCTAAAAACCAGCCACCGAGCAGACTCTACCAGCATCCTGAAAAAGAAGACAACACAGCTACAGTAAACATCTAACTGCTTATTTTACACATAACTTTATTCTGAAATATCTTTTCCTCTCCATTTCATATAGACTTTGTACATCTTAGTAGAGTCATTTCTGATTAAATCTGCCTTCTCTGGTGGACTTACAGGAAGGGTATCTAAGTGTTTGTTTGTTGAAAGTAATTATAGACAACAAGGAGGAATGAACAAATCGTCTGAGTATCCATTGACATTCCAATGGTTAATATCCCTATATGATCTACATGCCATATAATTAATCTCTATAGAGGGTTTTTTTCAGTGATTTTATACACAGTAAAATTCTACACACTGGGAACTGGTGCTCAGACTTCTAATTATATCTACTGAGGAGGCTGAGATCTAAGGATCACAGTTTGAAGCCAGTCTGGGCAACAAAGTCCATGTAAATTTTATTCCATGGACTGATCAAAAACCAGAAGGAAAGTTGTTGGCTGAAGCCGTAGAGTTTGCTCATTTTATCACTTTTGTTCAAAACTAAAAAAGTACAAAGCATTAAGGGTTGAAGAAGTCAACGAAAGATGGGAAGACCTCTCATGATTATATACTACTGAAACTTTCTACTGATTCAATGCAGCCCTCATCAGAATTCTAGTGACATGCCTTGTGTAAATAGAAAAGGCAATCTTAAAACAGATAGGGAAGTGCAACAGACTCTGCCGAGTGAAAGCATTCCTGGACAAAAAAAGCAATGCTGGAGGTATCACAATATTTGGCTTCAAATTGTGCTACAAAGCCAGAGTATTGAATCATCATGGTACTGGAAGAAAAAAAAAAGATATGTATTCCAATGGAATAGAATATAAGCCCTAGAAATAATCCACAGACTGGCATATTATTACTCAAAAAGAAAAACAAAATTATGTTGTTTACAGCAAAGTGGAAGGAACTGGAGATCATCGAGCTAAGTGAAAAAAGCCAGACTCTGAAAGACACATATCATATACTCTTGTTGGCAAATCTGGACTTAAATATATTTTATATGATATGGCACCTGTATGTTATGACTGTAAAAGGCGCCCATTTGCTGGGGAGCCATAGGAACACAGGGAGATTGAAGTCAGTAGTTGGTGGGGGTGGAGTGCAAATATAACTTCATTCTGTAAAAAACAGCACAGTCAAGCTTGTTAAACTAATTAAAATTATTTTTTAAAAAAGAGGGGAAGATGGCATAAGAAAAGCGAATAGAAGATGTATGTTCAAAGTACATTATTTACATGCGTGAAAATAGCTCCCTGAGACCTCTCTTATTCCAAGCAACATATGCTTAAAAAGGAAAGAAAAAAAGATTCCATAATAATTCTGTGGGTAAGATAGAAAAGTGCTCACTCCACAGCTACAGCCTCCTCGCAGAGTGCATTCTGTTCTCCTTTGTGTCTCAGTAGCACAGTGGCGACTGTGGGTGAGGTGACAGGATCATTCAGAGATGACACAGATCCCAAGTGTCAGGTCCTCCCTCTAAGCCTCTATTTCCCTTTCATTAGAATTAAAGGCCACACATATTGTCCATACCTTGATAACACGCAGCAGACCAACAGAGGTATGGATAATATCAGCTGCAGTGTGATCCAGCTGCGAAAGAAAAAAGCCAGTCCTCCCAGGAGCATCTGCCCAGTACTGTAGGAAGCCAACATTGCTAACATAGCTTGGGATTGAGGTCTTGTCCACTCTACAACTGGAAGAAAACACAGTTGTAATTATAGTTGTATGGTTATAATTATTTTTTCCAAATCATGTTTTCAAGACATTGCTAGTCAAGAAGGAAATTAAAGGATCAAATGACTGACTTACTGAGAACAGAAGAGTTTCCGAAAATAGGCACAACAGATAACCCAGCTAAGAATCGCAGGGAACAGTAAACAAGGAAGGTGGGAGCAAAGGCTGCACAGGTGTCACCGATGGCCATTTGGAATAAACACCACCTGAAGATGGTTTTCCGCCCAAACCTAAGAAATATTGGACTATGTGAGATTATTCAAGACCAAAAACAATAACACTAAAAACAGCCAAAGATATCACATCATGAAATTTAAGGTAGATACTGAATCTTTCTACAAAGATTAGGTATCATCCATTTGAAATATGCTGTTCTTTAAATAAATATTAAATATTAATCAATGCTAAATATTATTTCTACATTATACTTGAGATTTGTTGGAATGTCTATATTAGCCAACAGCTGAAATGGAAGAAGCTGAGCAATTTGCCAATGAATGTGATGTCCACAGTCTCTCAGTGAGGACACGCAAAGTCACCATAAGAACTCTGGTGCCATGTCAAGCCATATAAAAAAGAAGATAACATATGAGAGTTTGTCAGAAGTGTTCATTAGTAGACACATATTTGGGATGACAGGTTTGTGTGTTATGCTTAGAGTCCTGAGGAGTGAAATCCAGAAAGTTCTGCTATCTTTATTAGTGTCTGTGCACTGTCAAGGTGGAAGTCCAACTTGTTTGACAGACAGAAGGGGAAGACATCCATCAATGTTTCAGATAGATAGCCTAACAACCACTCTCAGCTGTGTCTGGCTTCTTGTGCCTTGGAAAGTCTGTTTCATCATGAACAGTAGACAACTCAGAAACCTCCTCTCCCTTCAGGAGTGGATAGAAAGTTCACAGAAGAGAGAATAAGGCTCAAAGAAGATTTAAATCATCTAAATAGACCCATATCAAGCAATGAAACAATAAGAGATCTCCCATACAAGAAAAGCCCATGACCAGATGGATTCACAGTTGAATTCTCTAAGGCCTTCAAAGCAGAACTGACACCAGTATTCCTCAAACTTTTCTATGAAATTGAAAGCAAATGTTCACTTATAAACTCATTCAACGAAGCCATCATAACCCTCAATCCCAAAACCAAACAGGACTTATCAGAAAAAGAGAGAGAGAGAGAGAGAAGTATAAATCTATTTTTGATAAACATTGATGAACATTTGATGAACAAAATTCTGGCCAGTCACTTCAACAACTCATCAAAAAACATACACAATGAGCAAACAGTATTTACTCCAGGGATGCAAAGCTGGTTCAATATTTCCAAGTCAATTGTTGTAATCATCATATCAATAGAAGTAAGGTCAAGAACCACATGATCATTTCAATAGATGCAGGAACCTCAAAAAAAAAACAACCCAAACTTCCAAGAATCAACCATGAATTAATAAATGGGCAAAAGAACTGAACAGAGACTTCCCAAAAGGAGTACAAATTAGCCAGGTGCTGGTGGCTGTAGTCCTACCTACTCAGGAGGCTGGTATATGAGGATCATGGGCAGAAAAGATCGGTAGACTCTGAGATCCAATTAACCATCCGTTCCCTCACCCCCCAAAAAACCCCAGGAAGTAGATTTGTGGCTCAAAGTGGTAGAGTGCTACCCATGAGCAGAAGAAATCAGAGACAGCACTAAGGCCCTAGGTTCAAAGTCCATGATTGACAACCCCTCGCCCCCAAAACAAAAGAACTACAAATGGCCAATCAATACATAAAGAAACACTGACTATCTCTGGTGACAAAGAAATGGTCATTGAAACAACACTGGAATTCACCTCACTCTAGGCAGAATAGTCAGCATCAAAAACGTAAGCAAGTAATGGAGGCAAGGAGTTTGGGGGAAATCACACTTTTTTTATACACTACATTTGGACCATAAACAAATGTGAGCACTGAATAAACCAGTATAGATGTTCTTTAACAAACTGCAAAAAAAACTACCATGCAATCTAGTACTACCACTCTTGGACATTTATGCAAAAGGATGTGTTTCAGACTATTATGGACAACCCTATATGCTCATATTCATGGAAGCACTATTCACAAGGGTCAAGCTATCAGTACTACTCCCAGACCATGAATGGATGTATCATGAATGTTATTAAGCTAAGAAAAAGAATGAAATTACATCATTTCAGAGAAATTGATGGAACTGGAGATCATCATATGAAATGAAGTAAGCCAGGTTTAAGAGTACAAAGTTCACATGTTTTCTCTCATATGTACATGCTAGACCTAAAATAAGCATATATAAACACATATAAGATACACATGTTACATATAATAATTATATTTATCTTAATTATAATTATATAATTTAGATAAATATAGAATTTCATTGGCTGCTTCAGCCAATGAAAAAGCTTCCTTATTCCAAGCATATAAATACCCTTGTGTGAAAAATAAAAAATTAGCAACTTGATCAGAATCCTTGTCTTACTGTCATTCTTCGTGTCTCTTGTCCCTTCATTTCTTCTCGCTTAGGTTCACTGCCCTCATTGAAGTCCTGCGGGTAGGGACAACTAGCGCCCAACGTGGGGCACGAGCCTCTGACTAAGGAAGGAACGCAGTCCTCCAGGAAAACTTGGCCAAGTACAGTCCGAGATCTCCTCGACAGACCCCCAGAGAGACAAATCCAGGAGGAGAGTGGGGACGGCGCTTGGTGAGTGACCCACTATGGGAGAAGCAATTCGTCACATGATCTATTTTTGTCAGACCTCAAGGAGGCATTGAAGACACGGGGAACTCGGGTTAAGAAAAAGGATTTAGAATTATTTTTCTCATTCATAGAGGACGTGTGTCCTTGGTTCCCCTTTGAAGGAATCATAGATGCAAAAAGATGGCAAAGAGTAGGAGATTGTTTAGCAGATTATTATGAAATCTTTGGTTTGGAAAAGGTTCCTGCTACCGCCTTTTCCTATTGGAATTTGATTAATGAAGTTTTAAAATGTTCTCTATTTGATAGTGGAATTTTAAAACTTGTAAAAACGGGAGAGGAGGTTCTCCAACATGCCTCTCGGCCCCCCTCTGCTTGCCCATCCGTTGTATTAGATATGCCTGATGGTCAATTTACTGAAAATCCCTTCATTTTGTGGCCCGGCCCTTCAAGGGCCCACTGCCCCTCCAGATCCAGATGTTTTTTCTCTCCCCCCTTTACCTAACCTGGCCCCTTTACACGAGTGTCCCAACCCGCAGGACTTCAACGAGGGCAGTGAACCTAAGCGAGAAGGAATGAAGGGACAAGAGACACGAAGAATGACAGCAAGACAAGGATTCTGATCAAGCTGCCAATTTTTATTTTTCACACAAGGGTATTTATATGCTTGGAATAAGGAAGCTTTTTCATTGGCCGAAGCAGCAGCAGGGTGCCTGCTTAGGGAAAGGTGAAAAGGTGGTCGTTAGTAGCTGCAGGGTGTTTACTTGTGGCAAGGTGAAAAGGTGGGATTCTGTAAACTCAGCCTCAAGATGTTCCAGTGAGATAGTTGGCTCCCAACAGAGGCCCTTCAACATAGGTGAGAACACCTCCAACTTTTAAAAGAACTGCGGTCCGTAATTATGAACGCCGCATACTGGCCTTGGTCGATACGCCAAAACCACCTGATAAAATTAAGGTTAGATAACACCATCAATCAGTTCTCGCCTTTCCAGTAACTCGGAGCCAGACAGATAGGACCTCAGAGGGTGAAGAGGACGAATCAGAAGAGGAGGAAAAGGAAGATGAGGAAAAGGATACTGGGGATGAAGAGGAACAACCCACCCAGGGAAAAGGCCAACAAAAGTATAAGAGGCTTAGCCTCCGGTTTGTTGAAAAGCTTAAAAATGCATGTGCCCAATATGGCCCGACTGCGCCTTATACGTTAGCCTTGTTAGAAAACCAAAGTGCGCGCTGGCTCACCCCTAAAGATTGGAAGTTTCTGGCCCGTGCCACCGTTAGTGGGGGTGATTTTGTTTTATGGAATGCGGACTTTAAGGAACAATGTAGAGAGACCACGCAAAAAAAATTTGGCTAAAACATCTTCAAAAACCTGGACCTATACTAAACTTTTGGGTAATGCGCCCTTCGATACCAATGCTAAACAGGCGCGCTTTCCTACCGGACTTTTGGCACAAATTCAAAATGCTGGCCTTTATGCTTGGAAGCATCTCCCTCAAAAGGGATTGGCTACTACTTCCCTGACAAAAGTTAGACAGGGGCCAGATGAACCCTACAGTGACTTTGTCTCGTGGCTTAACTTGGCTGCAGAAAGTAAACAACCTGGTCACTTCGCACATGAATGTCCCTTAGGCAAACAAAGCCAAGGGGCAATACCCTCCGAAGCTACGTGTAGACCACTCCCTGCCACTCTTTGACTTTTAGATCAAGAACAAGCAGCCCCAAGGTGGCTGCCAGAACGCTTGAGAAAACAGGTGAATGGCTTATCACAACCCAGGGGAAACCTTCCCCCACCCCCCCAGGATGATGCCTTTTCTCTTACTCTTACAGATGCAGCCAGAACTCCAGATGTGGACCTTCCTGTTTGAATTTATTAAATAACAGATTAATCTCTTGGCTTCTAAGCCCATACAGGTTCATCACCATCGCCTTGATATGGCAGACCAAGGCATTGAGATCTAGGATTTACCCTAGGCTTTTAATTAGTGTTTCACCATGAGCTTGTTCCAGTGGGAACCCCGCCCCCCTTCCTTTTTCTTATTCAGAAAACCCTTCTCCTTATTCATAACTCCTGACCACTCAACGGGCAAGACCTATTGCGCCCTTGCCATAAGAGATAGGTTCGCCCTTCCTCCTATAGGCCCCTCCGCTTGGGGGAGGATGCACCTATGGGAGGAAGAAAAAATGCTCAAATCAAGGGTTCAGGTAAGACTGCAGGGGGATGGATCCGTGAGATCTCCAAACCCAAGACCCCTGAGTGGCAAGCTCTGGTGCATGACGGTTGGCATGCATACCCACAAGCCGTCTCCTCAAAAAACATGCCAAGGTCTGTAAAATTCCCCTCCCTGAGTGAGGACGCTCGCTCAGGAGCGGAGAAAAACCCTGGGCCCTTAGAGGAACAGAGCCTCTGTCACCCCCTTAAAAAGAGCACCAACAATTGATGGTCAATTTTCTAAATAAGAAAGGGGGAGATGTTGGGAGCCAACTATCTCACTGGAACATCTTGAGGCTGTTTCACCTTCTCACCCTGCCCTAAGTAACGACCACCTTTTCACCTTGCCCTAAGCAAGCACCCTGCAGCTGCTTCAGCCAATGAAAAAGCTTCCTTATTCCAAGCATATAAATACCCTTGTGTGAAAAATAAAAATTAGCAGCTTGATCAGAATCCTTGTCTTGCTGTCATTCTTTGTGTCTCTTGTCCCTTCATTCCTTCTCGCTTAGGTTCACTGCCCTCTTGATGTCCTGCGGGTTGGGACATCACACCAGCTTTTTACAGGTTCTTGGAGGTAAGTGTCTATGGACTTTCCTTCCCAGGCTGGGGTACAACTTTGATCCTCAGATCTCAGTCTCCTGAGTAGCTAGGAGTATGAGTCACCATACCTGGCTTTCAATGTCTTTCTTCTGGGTTTTATAGCTTTCATTCTAGAGGTCTTTAAATTCTTTGGTCAAGTTTAATCCTAAGTGTTTTAGTTTGAGAAAGCCATTGAGAATGAAATGGTTCTTCTGGCTTTTTTTGTAGATGGTTTGTTGTTGTTATATAGAAAAGATATTCGCTTTTTATTTTGTTGATTGTGAATACATCAGTTCATCAGATCCCACTATTCTCTAAGTTTGTACAATACAAATTAAAATTTCTCTAAATGTCTTCTAAAAGATAATTTTCTGCTGAGTGCTGGACTACTATGTAAGGCACAAAGTTAGAGCTCAGCTGAGATTTCTTAACTACAGAAAAGACTATACCATCTGATCAACATCCACAGAGAAAGTGAAATGACACCTACCTGTCTGAAAGATGGCCAAATATCAGACCTCCCAGCAGTGACCCAATCATAAATACTACTTGAACCATAGATTTGGATGACTGGTACTCACATACTAGGTCCCACTGGAAGAGAAAGGAAGAGAGAGCGGTGTCAGGAGAGTTGAAGCCTTCAGTGGAAACAGACTGTAAGCGCCTTCCTGTGAGGGAAAATGTGCTGTGGTATGTGGATCCCGCTTCCTGTCCATTTCCTCTGCAGCCACTCTCCTCTACCAGTCCACACACCTTCAAATACTCAGCTCCTTTCAACTCTTCAGGTTCTGTTTCTGTCTTCAAAGTTTCCATGGCTTTATCTCTCTATTCTTCTCCTCAGATGACCAACTCCATCTGTTGCATGCATTAGCTTCTACACACATTGTGTGTGTGTGTGTGTGTGTGTGTGTGTGTGTGTGTGTGTGTCCATCCTGGAACTTGAAGTCAGGGTGGGACCTGGGTGCTGTCCCTGAGTTTTTTGGTTCTCTTTTTCTCTAGTCTACTGCTTTTCACTTGAACCACATGCTTTTCATGTTTTCTTATGGAATTTCCTGGCCTGGATGACTTTGAACCAGGATGCACAGATTTCAGAATCCTGCGTAGACAGGATTATAGGCATAAGCTACCACCACCTGGTTCTATGCATTCCTTTGTCAAAATTTCATTTCCTCAGCATTTATGTATGTATGTATGTATGTATGTATGTACGTATGTATGTATCTGTTTATCTTGTTGTTCTTGGGGGGCCGGGACACTCTCCCTAACCTCTTTTGCTCAAGGGTAGCACTCTACAGCTTTGAGTCACAACACCACTTCTGGTCTTCTAGTGGTTAAATAAGGATAAGAGTCTCACAGACTTTCCTGATGAACCATGATCCTCAGATCTCAGCCTCCTGAGTAGCTAGGATTACAGTCCTGAGCCACCAGCACATATATTCTTTTGTTACCATAATTTATAGCATAGAAAGGAGTATTTTAAAGAAAATTGAGTTACCATAATGGAGAGTACATGACAAAAACTCTTCTTTTTCTCCCCCACAGTATAACCCCTGCTTTCACTATATTTGATGTTAGTACAATTTGTGGAGGGGAAGGGCAAAAACAAATCGTTTAACTAGGGATACAGGTGGACCCATTGCAATAATGAGATGTACAAGTCGTTATGTTGAAAAACGAACTTTACAACTTTGGTAGCGGGCTGGGGGGAGGGGGAGGAATCAGGTCGGGGGTGGTGGGGGGAGTATGGGAAGGGATGGGAAGGGAAAACAAAGAGGAGGCAACAATGTTTGATAGGAGGTGTACTGGTTATCTTGCCCATGTAATTGTAACTCCTCTGTATGGCATTCTCACAATGAAAAAAAAACAAACTTCTTTTTTTCCCTAGGAAGAAAGGTTTCCTTTATACTTGGACTAATACAAAGTCTTGTTTGATTTCTTTTACCACTGAATAATTCAACTGAGAAAATAACTCTCATGTGGATACCCATCCATTCAGTTAAAAAGTATACAAATGCTGGGGACTAGATTTATGCCCCAAAGGTTCTGACTAACTTGCTCTGGGTAATAATTCATAATAAGTATTGAGAGCCACTGACCTAGGATAATATTTTCCTTCATGGTATTTCCATTGTTCTTTAAAATTACAGCTGTCTTTCTCATTAGATCAAATTATTTAATAACAGGTGTCTGTTTAGATTGTTTCATTCATGACCTCAGTACTAGTAACTCATCATCGTGGTAGTATAGATGAGCAGTTGCTACTTGCTGAAGGAATAGGAAATACAAATTGCTGACTAATATACTCTGGGGAGAGGGGGGGATTGAATATATAAAGCAAGTCTGTGCTTTGTGTTACTGCAAAAACCTTTGAGCAGACACACAGAAGGTTTAAATGGGGCCTCTTACCTCAGTGACAATAGTGGAATGGAAGTAGCTTTTGTCATACACCCAGCCGTCCACACAGGGCTCTGTTTCTGCCTCACTCAGGTTCCAGAAGGTGCTGTTCAGGTGGAGGAGCTGCCATTGGGGATGGACAAAGCGCCGGCACTTCTCTGGCCTGAGGCTGGAGTCGAGTGGGATGGAGATTCTCAGGAGGTCCTCCTGGCTGAGGAGCCCAGTGCCATTGTCAGAGAGCGTGTGATTGTCGAGGATGCGCACCCAGCAGCGGTGCTCAGGCACGGCTGCTGTGAAGTTCTCTAATAGAACATGAGTATATGCTATAAAGCTAGTGATGTAAAAGAAAAGTAGCTGAAGGATCTGGAATCTTCCTAGGACTCCAACATGATCCAGTAGGACCTCAAAACCCATTGGGAGTGAACAGGAATTCCCCCCCAAGGGGAATGTAGTGGTGCTATGAGATATATTGAGAGGGGAACACGTTTCCCTCCACTAGCCCAGCAGTGCTGCACTTGTCCCAACTCACTGTCTTCTCATTGGGCCCTGTCTCACCACTCTACGCCTGGGGAAGGAATTTCCTGGTCCTGTGGGTTTGGGCAGCTACATGGCTTTAATAGTTACTGATAGTTAATAGTTTTGTTGTTTCCAGGAATAACTGTGATCTTTGTACTTCTTATTTAATTTACTGCTTTCATAACCTAAAAGGCATGTGTCCAATGGTCTTGTTTTTTTTTGCCGATCATGGGGCCTGAACTCTGGGCCTGGGCACTGTCCCTCAACTCTTCAGCTCCAGGCTAGCGCTCTACCACTGGAGCCACAGCGCCACTTCTGGCTTTTTCTGCTTATGTGGTGCTGAGGAATGGAACCCAGTGCTTCATGCATGCGAGGCAAGCGCTCTACCACTGAGCCACCTTCCCAGTCCTGGTCTTGTTTTTTTTCCCCTTTTTCGGAAGAGGGACTCTGGACACTCCGAAATTAACTGGTTTATTATGTTTCTATGCAAAGAATGGAGCAGAGTGGAATTTTCCCTTAAGAAATGAAAGATGTGGTTAGTTAAATGTAAAGCAAAGTTGAATGCTGAATATTAATGCTAACTTTTTGTGAGTTTTTAAATTGTTCTAGTAATGGTGCTTTTATGACATCTGAAATAGGGAAATAAGCATAGAGAAAAGGGAGGAAACAGATAATGTATGTGTGTGTATGCTGGTCCCTTGGCTTGAACTTAAGGCCTGGGAGCTGTCCTTGGCTCTGATTTTACTGTTTCTCCCTAGGCTCCCTTAATATACCAGGCTTCAGTGAGGCTTCTTATCCCATCTATGTATAAAGACACAATGTAGCCTCTGTTATTCAACCTCCCTCATTCTTTCCCTCCCTTCTCTTTCCTTCATCTCCACAAGTATTCCCATAGTTAGAATTTTAATCTATGCCTCTCTCTCTGTCTCTCTCTACTTTCATCTCTGTGTATCTATTTATGTGTCTTTCTATATATATAGATTCCACAGTGAGCAAAAATACGATATTTGGATTTGTGAGTTTGGCTCACCCTGCAGGCTGGTCTCTACAGAACCATCTATTTTCCTGCAAATGCCACAATTTCATTTTCCTATATTACTGAGTACTATTCCATGATATGTTTGGACCATATTGCCACATCTATCCATTGTTCACTGGCACCTCAGCTGATTCCAGTTTGGCTTTATGAACATGACTACAATAAACGTGGGTATGTAGGTATCTCTTCTATATTGATTTGCAGGTCTTTGGATACATGCGCAAGAGTAGTTAGCATGTTCATAAGATCTATTTTTAGTTTGGTGAGGAATCTCTGCCTTGATTTCCATAGTGATTGCTCTAGTTTAGAGTCCCACTAACAGCATAGGAGAGTCCCTCTCCCTCCCCATCCTCATCAGCAATGTTGTCTGTCTTTTTGATGATTTCAACCCCACTGAAGTGAGACAGAATCTTTGTGTGTGTTTTTGTTTTTGTTTCTTTTTTTTGGGGTCCAGTCGTGGGGCCTGAACTCTGGGCCTGGGTGCTGTCCCTCAGGTCTTCAGCTCAATGCTAGTGCTCTACCACTTGAGCCACAGCGCCACTTCCGGCTTTTTTCTTTTTTCTTATGTGGTGCTAAGGCATCGAACCCAGGGCCTCAGGCATGCAAGGCAAGCGCTCTACCACTGAGCCACCTTCCCAGCCCTTTGTGTGGTTTTGATTTGCAATTCTTTTTTGACTGAGGATTTTGTTCAAATTACTTGTCCATTTATAAATTGCATTATTTGTTCCTTTACTGTATATATTTTTGAGCTCTATGTGTAACCTTGACATGTTATCTTTACCTGTTGCATAGCTTGTCAGTATTTTCCCCCTTACTGTCAGTTGTCTCTTGTGTGTTGTAAACACAGTGCACAAAGTTTTTTTTTTTGATATTGGATTTGAAATTCTGACCTCATACTTGCCATGCCAGCACTCTACCACTTGACCCACACTCCTAGATATTTTTCCTTTATTTATTTTCCAAATAAGGTGTCACATTTATGTCTGAGCCAGCTAAGACCACGGTCCTTTTCATGCTCCCCATGATTCTTGGATGCACAACCATGCCTATCTTTGGGTAGTGAAAGACCTTAGTCCCCTAGGATACTTTCGTCAACGGGAGGGCGCCCCAGAAACTCAGACTCCAGGCCGAGAGATGCAACAAGCAAGAGGAGTTTATTTGGTGTTTGCACAAACGGACTCCCTGCCTCGGGAAGGGAGAGAGTCCTGAGCAGTGGTTACAGGCATTTTTAAAGCAAAGACTTCAAGATTAACACAAGGTGTCCCGGGATTGGCCCGTTTAAAGGTCACCATATACCCTAGCAATCATTTTTTACGCGGGAAATTTTGTAACACTCTTTGTAAAATGACTGGCGTGGGGGGGGGGGAATTCAAGGGGGGGGTTACTTTGGACAATAAGGGTTAAGGGAGTTCACATAGTTACAGGCTTGTGATTGGTTGGCATTTGGTCTAGTTTGCTGGTCCTGCCAGGTGGTCATTATCGTGGTCATTATCTCAAGGTCCCGTCTGGGGAATTTCTAAATGGGAACGGTCTGTTCTTTATCTGTGACCACTGACCTTGTCCTGGGGCCGACATCTGGGCTCTGAGACTTTACCCAATTCCTTATTTCGAGGGAGGGGGTTGGTGTTAGCCCAAGCAAGTTTACAAAAGCAAAATCAGCAGTTAGCAATGGTAAAATATAACTCTAATTTTTAATCTTTCAGTAGTTATGATCATGTCTCACCAAACTTTTGCTTAGGCTGACCTCTAACTGTGATCCTCTATATTTGAGTAGCTAGGATTGCAGGTCTTAAATACCATGACTACATTGCAACTGTTTTTTAAAGATATCTGTGCCAGGTGCCAGTGGCTCATGCCTGCAATCTTAGCTGATACTCAGAAGGCTGAGATCTGAGGGTCCTGGTTCAAGCCAGCACAGACAGGAAACTCTGTGAGACTCTTAACTCCAATAAATTACTCAAAAAAAAGCCAGAAGTGACACTATGGCTCAAGTCGAGCACTTGCCTTGAGTGAAAGAAGCTCAGAGACAGTGCCCAAGCCCTGAGTTCAAGTCCCATTATCGGCAAAAAAGAAGGAAAGCAAGAAAACAAAAGGAAGAAAAGAATGAAAAAGGAAAAATGTGTGCATGTGTAAAATAATGGTTGTAAAACCATTAATAATGAATATAAAGAAATGCAAGATTGAAGGACTGGGAAGGTGGCTCAGTGGTAGAGTGCTTGCTTTGCATGCCTGAGGCCCTGGGTTTGATTCCTCAGCACCACATAAGAAAAAAGAAAAAAGCCGGAAGTGGTGTTGTGGCTCAAGTGGTAGAGCGCTAGCCTTGAGCTGAAGAGCTGAGGGACAGTGCCCAGGCCTAGAGTTCAGGCCCCACGACCACACCAAAAAAAAAAAAAAGAAATGCAAGATTGAAGTTTTCACGTCTATGTTCATCAAGAGTGTTGCTCTTTTTGTGTTGTGTTCTTATACAGTTTTGCTATCTGATAATATATCATATAATGGGCTGGTAGCTCATTATCTTCCTGTTTTATGGAAGGGACATTGCTATTAGCTCTCTAGAGGCTGGCTGTCGAGAGCCCTGCAGGGAGTCTCTCTGCATGATAAGCTTGACTATCTCGCTGGAACATCTCTCAAGGCTATTTACAGAATCTGGTCTTTGCATCCTGCCCCAAACAAAGACCAGGTAGCTGCTATTGACCACCTTTTCACATTGCCCTAAGCAAGCATCCTGCAGCTGCTACGCCCAATGAAAAAGCTTCCTTATTCTAAGCATATAAATATCCCTGTGTGAAAAATAAAATTTGGCAGCTTGATCAGAATCCTTGTCTTGCTGTCCTTCTTCGTGTCTCTTGTCCCTTCATTCCTTCTCGCTTAGGTTCACTGCCCTGGTTGAAGTCCTGCGGGTCGGGACAACTGGCGCCCAACGTGGGGCACGAGCCTCTGACTGAGGAAGGAACGCCGTCCTCCGGGAAAACTTGGCCAAGTACAGTCCGAGATCGCGAGATCGCCTCGACAGACCCCACCGAGAGACAGATCCAGGAGGGGAGTGGGGACGGCGCATGGTGAGTGACCCACTATGGGACAAGCAATATCGTCACATGATCTATTTCTGTCAGACCTCAGGGAGGCCTTCAAGACACGGGGAACGCGGGTTAAGAAAAAGGATTTAGAATTATTTTTCTCATTCATAGAGGACTTGTGTCCTTGGTTCTCCTTTGAAGGAATCATAGATGCAAAAAGCTGGCAAAGAGTAGGAGATTGTTTAAAAGATTATTATGAAACCTTTGGTTCAGAAAAGGTTCCTGCTACGGCCTTTTCCTATTGGAATTTGATTAATGACATTTTAAAATGTTCTCTGTTTGATAGTGGAATTTTAAAACTTGTAAAAACGGGAGAGGAGGTTCTTCAAAATGCCTCTCGGCCCCCCGCAGCTTGCCCATCGGTTGTATTAGATCTTGAAACTCCTTCTCAAAAGGTAGATGAACATTATTATCCTGTACCCCAGGCTGCCCATTCCCCTCAGAATAATTTAAATCCCGAGGAGGAGGCCACCCTGGAAGAGGAGGCAGCCCAATATCGTCAGCCTGATTGGCCCCCCTTATTCAGTCACCCCCTACCTCAGACTAAACCCTCTACCTCAAATATTCCGCATTCCTCCTATGCGCCCCCTCCCTTTTGTAACCCGGCCTTTCAAGGGCCCACTGCCCCTCCTGATCCAGATGTTTTTTCTCCCCCCCTTTTACCTAACCTGGCACCTTTATGCGAGACTCTTCAACATAGGCGAGAACACCTTCAACTTTTAAAAGAACTGCGGTCCCTCGATTATGAACTCCGCATACTGGCCTTGGCCGATACGCCAAAAACGCCTGATAAAATTAAGGTTAGATCAGGCCATCAATCAGTTCTCGCCTTTCCAGTAACTCGGAGCCAGACAGATAGGGCCTCAGAGGGTGAGGAGGACGAATCAGAAGAGGAGGAAAAGGAGGATGAAGAGCAGGATACTGGGGATGAAGAGGAACAACCCACCCAGGGAA